ATACGCGAAATGCATGGAAACAGAACTTACTTGCGATAATATACAAATTTTATCTTTTAACACATAAAAAATATAAAATATAAAAATATTAAATATTAATAATAAATTAATAATATAATAAAAATAATAAATTAATAATAAAAAATAAATTAATAATAATAAAAATAATAAATTAATAATAAAATTAATAATAAATGATGTAAAATATTTTTAAAATATATGATAATTTGCGTCTCTTTATCGTCGAAGTGCACGCAAAATTAAGCAAATGATTGGTTGAGACAAAGAAAAAGAAAACTCGCGATAACATCGATAAACATCTTTATCTCCCGCCGCATGATCGACACAAGTTGACTCATTTAAATACATGTACGGTAATAGCATCCCTAAACTCAACAAAGGGCCTTCAGAGATATCTGTTATCGCTGCTTCTGCTATTTACAGTTGTAAACGATCAAGTATAGAAAGAAATCAAATTTTGAGTCAAAAATTATTGGCTGCTTTCACCTTGATAACAAGGAATATAATTACCCTATCAAGCTCTGATTATACGTCAAACTTGCCAAGGGGCGAAAGATCGATAAAACGGAGCATAAATTGAACAAACTTTTGTGAAAAAATCGCACAATAAAATAGTTTCGAGAACATCTACTGCTGTAAGTAAATTTACAGACATTAAGGACTCGTCGAATGAGAGAGAACTTGTGTAACATCTTGGAATAAACAGAGATTCATTTAAACATCGGCAGGGAAGCATTCTCTCAGGAGAAGAGAGGTGCGAGAACGGAATTTAGAATCGCGCGTTCATTGATTTGCACGTAACGTAAACGTTAGACTCGCTCAAGAAAGAAAATCAGCGCGTCTATTCATAGTATGATAAACGTTTTCAGGTCTCGCTGCAACAAAGGAGCGCCGCCGCCGATCGGAGCTCACCCCATACACAGCATGTATGGGCTGTACGGCCGTTTAAAGGTGCATGTGTATGGCAACGATGCACTTCGCTGCGAGAGGCGACCGCACAATCGCACGGGCGAAGTCGAGATGAAACGAGAACGAGTTTTTCAACCAGATGTTTCGTCGGCATTCTTCGAATTCTCCTCGCTCGAATATTCATCGCGAACTTTAAGAGGAGATGGTCATTTTTCATGGAAATTATCATTACGTTTAATAATCTTCGTTCAAGATTGGAACTTGATATTTGATTAAGAAAGATTTAGGATGTGATTTTTTCCCTCTCCGATATCTGTCGAATTTTTAATCAGAGAAATCGTCAAAAGTCTACCGACAAGCTTACGAAGATCGTCGTTTTATGAGAAAACTATCGTGAAGAATATAATTTTTATTCGCCAAGATTGTTAGATATTACTTTGACACTGCGTGTACCTCTCAATGAAACTAACATTCTTTCAGACAAATTTGAACTTGATTTTTGAATGAGAAAAATATATCGAGAAGCTGTAATTTTTTCTTTCGATATCTATCAACATAATTTTTTTTAATCATACGCAATTAAAGAAATTGTCAAGCTTTTTGCTGACAAGCTTATGAAGATTGCAATTTTTTCCTTCTCCGATATCTATCGAATCTTTAAGCAGAGAAATCGTCAAAAGTCTACCGACAAGCTTACGAAGATCGTCGTTTTATGAGAAAACTATCGTGAAGGATATAATTTTTATTCGCCAAGATTGTTAGATATTACTTTGACACTGCGTGTACCTCTCAATGAAACTAACATTCTTTCAGACAAATTTGAACTTGATTTTTGAATGAAAAAAATATATCAAGAAGCAGTAATTTTTTCTTTCGATATCTGTCAACATAATTTTTTTCTCATCATACGCAATCAAAGAAATTGTCAAGCTTTTTGCTGACAAGCTTACGAAGATCGTCAAAAGTCTACCGACAAGTTTACGAAGATCGTCATTTTATGAGAAAACTATCGTGAAGAATATAATTTTTATTCGCCAAGATTGTTAGATATTACTTTGACAACGGGTGTACCTCTCAATAAAACTAACATTCTTTCAGACAAATTTAAATTTGATTTTTGAAAGAGAAAAATATATCGAGAAGCTGTAATTTTTTCTTTCGATATCTATCAACATAATTTTTTTCTCATCATACGCAATCAAAGAAATTGTCAAGCTTTGCTGACAAGCTTACGAAGATCGCCGTTTTATTGAAATTATCATCGCGTTTAATAATCTTTGTTCAAAATTTGAACTTGATATTTCATTAAGAAAGATTTATCAGGATGTAATTTTTTCCCTCTCCGATATCTATCGAATCTTTAATCAGAGAAATCGGCAAAAGTCTACCGACAAGCTTACGAAGATCGTCGTTTTACACGTTTTATGAGAAAATGATCGTGAAGAATATAATTTTTATTCGCCAAGATTGTTAGATATTACTTTGACACTGCGTCTACCTCTCAATGAAACTAACATTCATTCAAACAAATTTGAGCTTGATTTTTAAATGAGAAAAATATGTCGAAAAAATGTAATTTTCTCCGCGTAAAAATTTAATTTTCATTCACCATAATTGTTAAATATTCGATTGTACGTATCTCAATATAATTAACGTTCTCTCAGAAAATTTGAACTTGACTTTTCGATAAGAGAAATATATCGAGAAGATATAATTTTTTTCCTTTCGATATCGCGCATCTGTCAGTTTGTAATTTTTTTAAAATCATATGCGATTAGAGAAATCGTCACAAATCAAAACTATAAAACTCTATCGACAAGTTTAACAATGGAAATTCATGGAAATATTATCGTCTCATAAGGATTAACCTTTCACTAAAATTGTCAGATATTAGATAGCGTGTAAAATCTTTCAAGGAAACTAACATTCTTTCAGATAAGCCAGGAATTTAAACTCGACTCTTCGACAAGGAAAAAAAAATGTAATCTTTTCCTTCGATATCACGCATTGGGGCTCACAATATTTTTTTGTTAAGTCACGTGCAATCAGAGAAACCGTCACAAATCAAACAACAATCACGTTAAGCTCTACTCACAAACGCACGAGATCCTGGGAGGCGTTTTGATTAGATCCACAAACGCGAAGGGTATATCAATCTTAAAAATAGCCCGATTAATGATCGCTAGTGGAAGCACGACCGAGTATATATATCGTGCCTGTATTCCCACTCGCGTATGCGTGCAATGGAGATCTTTTTATATACATCCCTATATAAAATATTTAGAGGGTACACGCGCGCGCCTCGAAAGACTCGAGAGAGCTAATATAAAATCGCCTATCGTCGTTGAAAGCGTGACACAAACGGGAACATGCACCACACACGCTTGCCTTCCAAGTCGGTCGTGTGTGCTCGGGCAACATCGATCGACAAGAGGCACACAAGAGGCCGGGAGTGCCCGTCGCATTTCCGAGAACAAAGCGGAATTTCCGGAATCAGCGGAATACGCGAGCCTCTTCCTTCCCAGGAGGAGGATGCGGGTGAACGCGTAATGGCAGACGGAGAGGATCCCGGTAAGGGACGCGCTCCGATTCGCCATATTTCGAGCCTTAACCCCCTCGAGATAAAAATCGGAAAGAGATAAAAGACAGAGGCCTGATATTGTCAAGCATGATGACGGTTCCGTCGACGCGCATAAACAATAAACACGCTACAATATATGCGAATTATGGAGATTATTTTAAATTACATGCAGATTAATTTACACTGTAGCTTATTCTGTAAAATTTCATTCTAGAATGCTGACTGGTGAGCTGACTGTGAGCGAGATATGCGTTGTATGCTAATACTTTGAATGTTGTCATACATATTTTTCTGCAAAATTCTTATATTATTCTAATATCATTGAAATGAAAATCCTACATGAATGTAAACAAAATGAGAATTAAATTCAAGATTAAGATGAAAATTTCTTAAAAATCATCTGTTTATAAAACACTCGAAACTATCCATTTTTGCACGTCCTTATTTATGTATTATCGTAAATATATTACGGTCAGCATTCTAGAATCGAGAGGCGAGCGCAGGAGGGAAGAGACTATCGCGAGAAAAACACGCGTGTCTTTGCTCGGCCTCGAGGCCTCTTCTCCTCGCGTTCCTCGAGAATCCGAGGAAGGACACGAGGTAAGAACAATTTCGCCGAAACGCGCGCGCGCGCGCGCGAGAACGTACTCGGGAAATCCAGAAACGTCAAACGGCCGTCGTTGCACGAGGAAAAGGAGCACTAGAGGACGACGCGCTCGTCGCTCGACGAGCGTCTCCGAGAAGAAGCGTAGCGTCGAAGGCACGTACTAATTCCGGAATTCGTCGAAGCCAGGAAGGCACGCGGAAGGGAGGGCGGCGAGGCGAGCAAAGCCTCTCCCCTCCCTTGCCTCCCCGGGCACATGGTGGAAAATTTGTAAAAGGCTACGCGAAGAAAAAAAAATCCTTCTCGCGCAACAAACTCCTTCGCTGCGTCCTTTTTCTCGCAACTTTTCTCACGCGCGTGCTGTTCTCGACAGACCCCCCTCCCTCCCCTCCTCCTCCTCCTCTTCCTCGTCCCACGGACGGTCGCGCACATCGGCTGGTTAAAGTGTCAAACGTGGGAGTTGCGTGGGCGACGGCGAAACACGGCGGGTTTTTCTCGCCGAAAAATCCGCGGGGGAGAAATCGAAGAACCCTCCTCGGCGGGGGGGAGGGAGAGGGATCCCGAGAGTCTCGCTCGAAAAATCTGCGAAACCTCCGCGGGCGGAGGCTCCGAGAAACGGAGAGAGATAGAGAGGCGAGACGGATAGACAGAGACACGCCGATGCCTCGCACACCCGACATGACGCACGACGACCTACCCGTGTCCGCGCGATGGAGTCTCGCCTGCCGAGGGAGATAGAGACGCGGGGAACTCTCCGCGAGCCCCGTTTCCTTCCGCGAGCGCACGATGCCGCGTTCCGCACTCGGTTTCGCCGCACCCACGCCACGCCGTGCCCGTTAAATCGCCGCGCAAAGCCAGGAGAGATACACAATAGCGTTTACTTACGGCCGACGGTTGTTGTTTCTGAAGGCTTTCGCAATCTGTCGGTCGCATTCGGCAACTTCCGAGCGGCGGGAGGGGGAGACGGAGGTACCGCTCCTGTCAAATCGGCGTCCGTAGCGCGACTGACTTCGCGCCGCGCGACGATCGATTGTCGCGCGATCCAGAGGGGGGGAGGGAAACAGCGGAATATTATTTCGCCGAAATACTCGCGCCAGGATTCCGCCGACGATCGCCGAGATCGTCGGGATTAATCGTCCGCGTTCAACTCTCCGTTGACCTCGCCAGTCGGCGATACGTTGGACGGTGCTTTAGACGTTTCCACATGAGTTAGCGAAAACTCGTCCCGGTGAGCATTTCCGGGGCGCGGGGGTGGGGGACGAATATGGTTCTCGCTGTTTCTCGCGCGCGATTCGAAGTAATTCGCGAATACGGAATAATTGCCCGCTAGATCGTCGAATTTCTATCGCGATTTCCGCGATCTCATACGCGACGAGAAGACGATCGCGAAGTTGCAATTTGACTTTAGTGGTGCGACTTCCGTTTCTCCGAAAACGAATGACGTCTCGTTGCAGGTTATTAAAATTGTGAGAAAAATTGGAAAATTCACCTCGACAGATCCGTCATCGTCGCGTTTCCCGTAAATTCGCGCGTGCCCAGGAAAAAAAAGAAAAGAAAAATATGACACGTCGGTAAATCAGATCTCTGTCAACGTACACGGACGGGAGTACAAAGGGTCTGCTGTCACTCGGCCGTTGCGTCAGAACGTTTGGGCAACTGTCAGTTTCTGATCCAATTCGTGCAGGAAGGTACTTTTCTGCGCGTTTTTAAATGTAATTCCACACGGAACGATTTATATTTATACGTTTAAGGACACTTGTGATAAAGAACGGACTCAGGTTAGTGACCGACATCTCGCGAGGTGTCATCCGCACGCCCGATTTGCGTATCCCTAATTTAACCCCTCCTTCAATTAAGCGTTTGTCATACAGAATTAGAGAGAGCTCGAGTTTGATGTTAAATCTCCCATATATGTCATTGTAACAAAGAGCACGTCTTGTAAATTTAGCTCCGAGATATTTGTAAGTTTATTTGTCTAGATATCTCATTGTGTAAGAAACGAGAAGTAGACTGACCGGGGATAATTTCTAAACGTTTAAAATAATTGCTATGTATAATATATACAAATAATGGACAATTTTTCTTTTTGAAGAGAAATATAAATATAAAAAGTGAAATTAAGATGGATTTTATTTTTAATAAACATAAGTAATAGCTGTCCAAGATGTCCTTGATATGATATCTTAAATAATTTGTATTTATTATATATAATTATATTTCATCATATTAAATATTTATGACTATGTCATTTCATTGTATTACATATATAAGAAGCATACAAGGTCACATCATATAAATATATTACAAGAAAATATATTGAATAAGCTATATATAAATTACATACGTGATTTTTTAAATCCTTTGTTATTTTATTTTTCTAGTATTTTATATGAGAATAATTATTTTAACTATTTTTAATTATTTTTAATAAATTTTATCTTTTATTTCATTATACATGCATATATCTATATAAATTACTCCTGGACAAAATTAATGCATAATTTTTTTTTCACTTTTTCTTTAAAATTTTTCATAAAAATTTAAATATCAGCTTTTAAAGAAAAAGTAAAAAAAATGATGCATTAATTTTGTCCAGGAGTATATATATATATATATATGTATATATATATATATATATATATATATATATATATATATATATTTGCAATATTAATAGTGAACGAGTAAACAAATGCTTTTATATACAAACATTGATAAAAGTTACAAAAACAATTTAAAAATTTGCTTATATAAGTTCCTACATTTATGATTCTTAGCGCAAAGATTAAGTAGAATTTTCTTTTTAGAATGGCTCAGCGCTCGCAAAACTATGGATCTACGGATCAACGGGTGGATGTACCTGAAATAGGATTTAGTCCTACCGAACTTTATAGTCTCAGTGAAAATATTACCACTAACATATACACGATTAACACAAGTTGGAAAACTTTAGAAAGAGCTTATAAAAATATTGGAACCAGTAAAGATAATCAAGGTTTAAGAGACAAAGTGTAAGCAGAAATATATATCATTGATTCATTAATATATAATAATAGAAATATTATATATAAAAAATTTAGTACATGTAATATTACATGGAATATTTAATTTAAACTTTATACCAATTAATTAAATTTATACTAATATATACAAAATATTCTTCCCAGACATGTAACACAATTAAGTACTAATCAGGTAGTCACACAAACAAGCAAAGACATTGCAAGACTAACGGTATTGATGAGACGTGGCGATAAACAACAAAAGCTACAAATTGAAAAACTCACAACAGACTTTAAAGATGCGCTACAGAGATATTCTGATATGCAAAAGGTAAATGTCTACATTTTTGATTGCAGAAACTTACAAAATATAACTGAATACACAATTCTATGAAATACCTATTCTATTTCCATTTTGATCTTAAATTAATAACAAAATACTCTTTGCAGTCAATTGCAGAGAAGATGAAGAGACATATTTTAGCTATAACTAATATAGAAAATTCAATGGATGGGGAGGATGGTGAAGAAACGCAACGGCTACTTCAAGCACAGGAACAAGAACATAGGACTACACAAAGGTTCGAAAATTTTAATATTTTTGTACTTTACACAAAACAATACGATATTTGTAATTTTTATAATTAATACAGGAAATCTTACCTATTTGCTTAGTTGGAACAAAAGCGATGGTTTCCATTGGTCGCATATTGCACAATGCTATAATAATAGAAGCTATCGTAATTGTATCAGCTAATGGGAAATGTAAGATTTTCTAAATGAGACAAAATAAAAATCGTGGATTGTATATATGACAAAATAGACTGAATTTCAAATTACAGTGTGTGTGAAAAATTAATTATCACATGTATTTTTAATATAGAGAAGTTATAAAATACACTCTTATGTGTATGGTAAGTTAGTTTCAATGCAAAACAATAAAGAACAATGAATAACATAATATCGATAATGAAAACAACATTTATATACAATTATTGTGTGTTATGGCATGCCTAGGACACTCGAGTTCCAACAAGGACTACTGTTAGAGAGAGAAGATAGGATTAAACGAATTGAGGGAGATATTCTGGATGTAAATCAAATTATGCGCGAACTCGCAGCACTGGTGCATCAACAAGGTGATACTATTGGTAAGTATAATTTTAGTATTAAAATATAATTTTACGATACACTGGTAAACTTTTTTACAATATGAAGGATATATGGAAAAATCCAAAATCTGTGTGTTGCTTTGTTATAAAATATAAAATACATTTAACTACAGCTAATGACTATCTTGTAGATACGATCGACAACCACATAGAGAATATACACGGCAATGTGGAATTAGGAGCGCAGGAACTTGTAAAGGGAAGTAATTACCAAAGTAAATTTCGTCGAAAAGTTTACATCTTGTTGTTACTTGCGATTATAGTTGCCATTGTATTAACTGTTATTCTAGTCATTAAATTAAGTTAGCGCTCCTAGCCTCTATGCGGATTTTACCGATAGATGAAAAGGGCTGTCTCAATCTGTGTTTCATAAAGTTGATTAAATTGACTTCTTTAAAATTTATCTTGATTTCTCTATTTGTATGCATTGGAATTACAAATGTAAGAAATGTGAAATGTAGAATGTATAAGAGACTTATTTTATGTATATATTTTACATATATATATATATATATATATATATATATATATATATATTTGTTTATAAATATAAATAATTTCTTATATTTTTTTAAGAGATACATAGGCTTCTTTAAATTTTTTAAGAGATACATAGGCTTCTTTAAATTTTTTTTAAAACGATATAGTGTAACACGTATAAAATTCATATCTCACATAAACATTTATCTTTTGCATATCAAAATATCTCTGTAGCTCATCTTTAAAGTCTGTTATGAGTTTTTCAATTTGTAATTTTTGTTTATTTCCACGTCTCATTAGTACCGTTAGTCTTGCTTGTCTGTGTGGCTACTTGATTGGTACTTAATTGTATTACATGTCTGAAAAGAATATTTTATATGTATTGATATAAATTTAATTTTAATTTCTATAAAGTTTAAATTAAATATTCTAATATTACATATACTTCTGAATTTTTTATATATAATATTTCTATTATTATAAATTAATGAATCAATGATATGTATAGTAGGGCGAAGCGTGGCGCAATAGATAGCGCACTAGTCTACAAAGCCAAAGGCCTTGGATTTAATTCCCAGTAGAACCGAAAAATTCTATACGCTCGCTCCTCTCTCGGAAAGCAATGGTTATAGTCTTATTGTCAGTAAAAATGTTACCACTAATACATATATGATTAACATTGTAGATAGACTAGTCTTCGCATTAGAAAACCTACTTTATTTTCATACAATTAAAATTGTATTAATTTAATTGAGATGCGTTTCTCTAGTAAAATGTATTTATATTTACATTTATATTTATATTTTTTTAGTAAAATGTATTTATAATACAATTTTTTGGTTCTACTGAGAATCGAACCCAGGGGCTTTTGTCTTTGTAGACTAGTGCGCTATCTATTGCGCCACGCTTCGTCCTACTATACATATCATTGATTCATTAATTTATAATAATAGAAATATTATATATAAAAAATTCAGAAGTATGTGTAATATTAGAATATTTAATTTAAACTTTATAGCAATTAAAATTAAATTTATATCAATACATATAAAATATTCTTTTCAGACATGTAATACAATTAAGTACCAATCAAGTAGCCACACAGACAAGCAAAGACATAGCAAGACTAACAGTATTATATAATAATGATACATATGTCAATAATAAATTTAATGTGTTAATAATAAAATTTACAAAAATTTATTAATATTTTTTATAGGTCCAAAAATTTTATATTGTTGATGTATTAATTCAATTGAGATGCGTTTTTTTAGTAAAATGTATTTATATTTAAAATATTATCTAAAAGAATTAGGAATTAGAATTCTGTAAAATTATTTGTAAACACAGATTTATAAATAGGTACAGGTATTCAAGTTTTTTGCATATGGGCATCAAACTGTGCAAAAATGTTTATTCTCATCATGCTACATAAAATAATATTTAATAAATAACGACGCGTACATTAACTATAAGTAAATTAATACAAAATTTTGCATATACGTACACATATTAATTATACATATTAATTATATTTGTATAAAAAATTTTTATATATGTTTGGTTCTTAAATTAATCAAAATAGTTTTTTGCTATATACTTTACTATTCTGTCCAGTGTGTTACTAACTATAATTGATTTAATCATGTTACAGTACAAATTAAAGTCCAGTTATATTAAAATACCAATCATTAAATCAGATGGATAAAAATTGTAATAATTTAGGAGATTTTCAGTTTTTTTAATGAAAAAATAATTCTAACAAAATTGTGTATTAATACAATTGCTAAGAAACCACATTTTCTGAATTCAATTTTATTTCACAATTATATATTTTCTTAAGCTTGTATCTTTTTTTCTATAAACTTTATTTAATAAATCTAATTTCACAATTTTATTGAAAATTACCTCAATTTGTGTATGGAGATGCTGATTAACTTGGATGTTAACTTCATCAATTATCAAAAAATAATTATAAAGAAAAAATTTTCTTTAGCAATAGAAATATGTGGAAATAATAATACGGATTAAATTTATAGAAAATGTAACAGAACAAATATATATACAAAATAACAATATGTACATTTATCTCAAAATTTTCTTTAAGATTTGAAATGTCACTGCGCCTGATTAAATTTCAAAATCAAAACGATTGTTTATAATTATAGAGTTAAAGTGATATCGCGTTATATAAAGTGGATTTAAAATTATAAGTGTTGATAGATAAGAGGAAGAAATAGACTCGATTGAGACAGCTACTTTTCTATGATGACTCGATTCTGATATGATTATATGATTATTAGGCATTCCGGATCCTTAAAAATCCAACATATAATATAATTAAGATTATAATCTGACTATTGTATATACAATTAATCATTAACCTTTAAATAAATAGTGCTATAACATTGATAACGATACTTGCGCTAATGTCAAGTATAATAGCTTTATTATTGTTGATTTGTATATGCTAAATTAATATTAGGCATTAAATTATGTTTTGTTTTTTGCAAATAAGAATTTTTTGTATCCTGTATGTTACATGATTACAACATGGAATTGTATTCAAAAATATATTTAAAAAAAGGTACACACATAGATATATATATATATATATATATATATATATATATATATATATATATATATATATATGAAGTGTACTATACATGTGCACAAAATCAGAAATATCCGATTTTATTGAATCTTAAGACTGCTAATATAAAAAAATTCAATTACTATATTTAATAACAAGTTTTTGTTACATATATAACTTGTACATAGTATAAAAAACTTACATTTACTTTTCAGTATAAAATATATACATATTATATTGTGGACAGATCTTCTGTTGCCAGAAAATTCGTTTAATCATAAGTAAAATTCAATTTTTATAATAAATGCATAGAAAAGTGATGTACACATAAAAATATCTAAACTTTCGTATTAACTTATTTACAAAAAAGTAAAAAAAAAGTACTTTGTAAAGAGCAGCGATTCTCATATGAATCTCCTATTATCTTTATTGTTTATGCTTTATGATATTATATTATAATACACACATATATAAATTTGTTCTTCTAACAATTTAAAGTTACGATATTTAAAATCGTCGCAAATACAATGAAATTTTTTTATACATGATTTTTTAGAATATAATAATATTTAATTTAATCAGAGTATTTAAGATTATACTTAGAGAGAGTGTCTTTTAAAAGATAAATCATATACAATCCTTTTTATTTTGACATAGCTCTTGTAACTTGAGAAACTTAAATTGCGCATTCATTTTATGCTTATTTCCAATTACATACTTAGTTATTTTCAACCGAAGAAACAACCTAAGCTTTTATCTTGTTTTGTTGTTGAGATCGTCTGACCTTTATTCGCGATTGCAGTGTGAGCAACAAACCCGCGAGAACATCGTGATTCGGTAACTTTTTCGCGAACAACAAACGCTTGACTGAATCATCGTATGTCAGGAGGGCCATCATATTTTGTAATAGAAATCCTTGACAATATTCCAAGAGTTGTGCTGCGTTATACACCTTAACAATTTCGATATAATTAGTTAGTCTCAAGTACTAAGCGACTCTTAGGGAATATACGTTGTTATAAAAATATACCTTTGCGTGAATATACATTGAAACGATATTGTCAAGATCCACCATTGTGGAACACTGTGCTTCACAGTATCTGAGCAAGCCATCGAGTTGAAAGAAATTGGCGGCCGCCATTAATTCTAAGACGTCACTTTGATTAACTTCTAAAGTAGCACAACCGCCGTGATAAAGAAACTCCATAACCATCTGAAACCGAAATATATCTCTAAGAACAATCCTCATTTCGTCTTTAGTAAGATATTCATTAGTTATTCAAAATATATATAAATTCTTTAATTATCGTTAATTAACGTTTAACTTCAAATAAGAAAATATTACAATTATCATATAAGAAATATAATTACATACCTGGAATATGTGATATCTTATATCGTTGATCTGCACAATAGGGGGATTGCCTTCGCATAATTTTGAACTTAACATATTTCTGAATCTCGGGGAAGATGTAACCAATACAATCTTATGACCGTAGAAAACGCGACCTTCAACTCTAAATTGTACGTCACTTAACTCGGGATTATTCACAAATTTCGGATCGATTCTCGATCCGCTCGATAGAGTGGTATCTCTAATTGGTTTGATCGGCTCCCAGCCATAGCATGTACAAAATATATCAGCGAGCAAGAGCGTCGTGTCTTCCTTCTACGAAAAAAAAAATACAAATGAGACCTTGAATTGTATCAATGCATATATAATATTTGTTATTTAAATTAAATTAATCTTAAAATCAACAATAATGTGCAAATTGACTCTATATATACCTTACTATATCTAAAGATATTGAATAAAAGGGGCAGACACTCTTGCACGAATTGTGTAGAATAATCGTCCGGGCAGACTTGAAGAAAGTCTTGAAGTAGTTGATCTATAACTGAATCCAGTCGCATTTCATGAGCCGTCGCGAGACTGTGCATCCAGCAATGCAATGTCCAACCTACTTTTAGCCCACGAAGTTCCATGGTAATATCTATTAAAGTGTAATAAAAATATATATAAAAAATATATGAAAATATATAAAAGATGTAAAAACTTTCTTTAATACACTATATATTATACTATTAATTTTTAAGAATTATATTATTTTACCTAAATGATTGCTTTCCGCGCTATGATACATCGCTTCCTGCAACGCCTTTGTTTGTATCTTATTAAATACTGGTTCTTTGCCTTCTCTGCGAGCTCCTTTCCCTTCAGCAATCTGCTGTTGAGAATTAGTACCGGAATTACCTTCCGCTAATATCTCTTCCAAAGATAATATCTCCTTCTCTCCACGCTTGGCTGAGAAGTTGAGTGGGTGTGACAACAGTTGATGAAGACAGCTTCTTTGGCCATGCGCCGTTGCCACCGATATTGCGCTATTTTCATCACGAATATAAAATTAAAAATTCTAGTTTCTATTAATATACTCTAATCTACTCTTCTAACGTATTCATCTAAATATTTCAATATAAATGTTTTTATAAAAAAATTTTTTTCCAAAAAATTATTCATTATTTTTCAACGAAATTTCATTTAATTTATAAATACAATTGAAATACAAAACTAAAATAACACTTGTTACCTGTAACAACCACGTTGCGCGGTACCCGAGTAAGAGAACGAATCCTTAATCAGAGTGGATAAGAATGGTTGCGCACCGTGTGCCAAGAGCAGAGCAACCATTTCATTGTTTCCTGATGCTGTGGCTGCCTGTAGAGGTGTAACTGTGCATTTGTCCTCACTGAGCTTCGCACCGCCCTCCACCGCGGCACCTCTCTCCAGCAATATCCTTGCGATATTGCAGTGACCCAATAGAGCCGCGTAAGTCAGAGCGGTCCAATGTTGCGTTTCCGCATTGAAGGCGGTTTGCGGGTAGCATACACCACTTGAGGCAATTCCATTGGAATTACCCGAGCTGCTAGTGGATGTTATATTCGCATTTGATATTGTTTTACCAGTCGGCGTCATCATCATCGATTGATTGATCGGACTCCTAATATTCGGTGTACTAGAAGAAGAAGTTTGTGGTATCTTGGAAGGCGTGTTGAACGACGAATTTGTTACCGGCGATGGGCTTTCGATATTTAAATCCGCCCCGGCGTCCAGCAGGGCCGTTGCGGCTGATTCGTCACCGTTGATACACGCTAGCATCAAAGCTGTGAATCCAGCATCGTTCACTGTATTGATTTTTGTCGAAGGTAACAACGGCATCGCCTGAGCTATGAGATCCGCTCTACCGCTGATTAACATCTTGAAGGCCATGTCTAACGTTAACAATCGGACATATTCCGCATCGTCGACGCGCTTCGAGCATACTGCGATCTCCTCAGAACTGTAAAGTCATATAGATTTTATAATAAAATTGCCAAAACTCTCATAACTTGGATATTGGAGACTTTAGAATCAACAAGATTAATCGTAAAATTAGAATGAATCTGCATTTCTGTTTTAGTCTACAATTATTTTGTTTCAATAAAAAATCTGACTGACCTTATCGGTCGGACGGGACAGTCTACGCCAGGCAATAATAACCGGGCAGCTTGATTGATGTCCACCTGATCCACAACGAGACCGTGTCTGTGCTCTGCGTGTGCTGCAGCTACCCGTAGCCATTCCACCAACGGTGGCAGTACCACGTAGGCTCGTTCGTATGCCAATTCTTGTATTCCAGATCCACGTTCACCATGTTCGAGCTTAAATAATACAAATTTTGAATTAAATTAGTTGCGCACTCTCATAAATATAAATCTGAGATAAATTTTCCGTTTTAAGTCTCTCGAAATAAAACTGTATCTTCTATATACCTGTGAACATCTCATGTAATAAAAGAGGGCGTGTAACGCTCTCGTTGTTAGCGGTATAGGGCAATGTCCCGCCTGTGCAACTTTGGAAATCAGATCTATTAATTCCGACATCGAGCCTACGCATGTCGTAAGTAACGATGGTTCCAAAGCCGACTGGATTACGTCTCGTCCACTACGCGACGACGATGACGAGTTCAAGGAACTTATGCTTGCCCAGCGAGGCATCGCGAGAGCACCTGCGATAAGAAATATGTAATACGATTAATTGATCCATATATTTCTCTATTTTTTATCAGCGCAATCAGTGTCTCATGCTAATTAGAGATAAATAAATATGATGAAAATTAAACATCTGCCAAGAGAGGTAATTAAATAAATATAATGTAACGTTAGTTATGTGGCATTTTTTTTTTATCAAAAAATATGACGAACCTGATGCCGTTCGACCAGCGTTCAAATGCGCGTATGGTTGTAACAGTCCCCATAAGTCACCACTGTTGGCTATAGCGTGCTCCAGCATCGTCGCCGTGAGAGTCGTATGTGGCTCAGTCGGCACACATTGCAATAATATCTCCTCCAAGAGATTCTCGATTCCGGCCGTGAGGTATATCGCGGCGTATTCATGGATCATCCGACCGAGTCTCACGTCAGACATCCAGCGTAAGAAACGTCCAACGGGTAATTGCAACCCCGAACGAGAAGCTTTCGATTGTTTCAACTGATCGCCAGACACAGCGAACATAGCGGCGGCTCGAAGGCAGGCCTATCAATCAAATATCAGATGGCAACGATTAACGTTTAGCTGAACGTTTTACAATTAAATTATTATTAAAATATTAACAATATTAAATTATTAATGATAATAATAACGTTCACATTTCTTTCTAATACAATTGCAGTTTCTTCTAAAAGTCTACCTTGGTGCAGGAATCCGCTAAAGCCGGACAGAGCACGATCTTGAAGGCGCTGTACACCTCGTGCTTGCTGCAAAGACCTATGGGCTTTGCCAGTCTCTGAGTCTCGCGACCGATCCTGACTAGCGCACGTTGCAATAGATAGGAAAGTCGCGGAATTGTCTCCATCGAGACCTGTTCCATGTGTTCCCTCGTACGACCGTTCTGAAGTACGCGTAACACGTCGTGGTGAGTCCACGGTAGCTGTTGCAGCTCTACCAAACGATTGTGAGAATCCACCCAGACAAACTCATCAGCACTGGTCACGTTGGTGTTGATTGTCTCCAGACTTGAATGTCGCATCAACCTTCTCACCGCTGGCTCCGAACTCTCCGAGCCGCTCAGCGATGAGTACGTGGACGAAGATTTGTGTGAACGCATCGTCAGCTGTTGAATCGCCAGTTTGATGTCTTCCAAACCGGAGCCCGACCATGGTACCTGCAACTATAATCAGAATAAGAGACAATACGATGCGAAACAAATCTCATTAATTTTCTACATATATTTTAATTGAATTGATTAATTAACGTTTATGAATCCAAGTATTAATATTCATTAATATTTACTTCCACATTTAATGTCTATAATACTTTTTATCACATCTCTATCTTTATTTTATTTATTATTCTACTGAAATTTAACTGATTTTCTATTCTTTTTTTCTAGAGATGATACGAAAGAAAAAGAATAATAAAGAATTGATAAAATCTCAATTATTTTCGACTGATATTTAGAAGAGCAGCTTCATTGAAACCTTGGCAGGAGTAGCTCTATGCCGGTTACGATTCTGGCCAGATCTTTTGCCGTTTCTCTGAGTAACCGACGCCGAGAGTCGATCGTCCTCGGGTACGGCATTCAGTTGTTGAGGACTATGTGTCTTGTGGTGACGATGAGGTGGCGAGCTACTACTCGTGTGGCCGCCAGTGTCTGACATGCTCGCGTGTCCAGAAGATCGGTTCTCATCGGAAGAGCTGTTACCAGTGCATTCTGGCCGTCTCTGAAAAAAATGTCAGAAAAATATTAAGAATCAGATATATACTATACACACACATTCGTTTTTTAACGTGAATTTATCGTAGATTGAAATATTTCCACATACCTGAAGTGCACGGAGTTCATGTAAACTAAGATGATGATGTTGGGAATGACGTGGGTGTTGTTGCGGGGTTGGTGTCGGTGCCACGCTGTCCGTATCTCTTTCCGGTATCATGTGGACCATATCGTGGACTCCGTTTTTGGGTGAATTCTCAGTAAAATCCTTAGAGTACGGGGGACAAAATATCTCACGGCTATTGCCACCACCCGGCCTATAAAAGAATCTTGATTAATAATTTGATCGACATGTTATTCATATATTTATTATGTATAATTTATTTTGTAATTTACTATTCTTATATATTATTTATTATTTATTTTTTATATATATTATTAAATTATATATATCTTCAAAAATTGTTATTATTAAGTTTATTAAAGCTGAGGAATACTACGATATCAATTGTGCTCATCAATACCATACGTATTATTTTGTTAAGAGCTTAATAAATCTTTCATAAGTATATACGCTATTCTATTAATGTTTTACGCAATAACAGACTGACGAAAGCTTTGTAAGATTAATTTATATCCGATATGAGAGGAACACACATTTCTTGTCTCGAGAAGAAACTTCTTTCGAATACTTTGCATAAGAATATAGTAAGATTATGTTCACGATGATATCTCGGATATTTTCTATCATAAATCTCCTCACCTATAATTACATTATCATGCTATGAGAGAACAGATAAATGAAACTAACGGAGACCAATGTACGTGTTGACTTTCTCAGAAGTACAGGTGAAATATCTTCGAACATGCATCGCGTAGGCGAGGAACATAAAACCCTTTGATACTAATGTCATGAAATTTACAGACGCATGTTTGGACTTCTTTGAAACTGATATTTTTTTCTGAAGAAAAAAATATCAAAACGTTCATCATTTTTATGAATAATTGGAAATAAACATTTTTTCGCCAAGTCTCAGTGATAAAATTAAACAACAAAATTTTATCCTCTCTTTTATATATATTTAATTTTGAATAAAGTTTATTTTAATTAAATATATTTTAATTCGATCAAATTATTCGTATCAAGATTTTAAAAAAATCAAGTTTTTTTTACTAAAGAGAAATCGACTCCGATTTAAACAAAAAAATATCCTTGCTGGAGTCCGTAGCGAGCATGTTCTCGAATCACCTGGTATGTAAGTTTCTCTCGAATGATATGCGATATCCTGTTGGATAGGTTGGCATCTCTTTAATTGTCGTAGAAATAATGCTTGCTTTCGATGGCCTTATCTCTCGTGAAGAAATGCATAATATTGCACGCGAAATAGACACATTCCATGAAAAAAAAGGATTTGTCTTTCTCTTTCTCTCTTCCTATACAACTTACTCTCGAAAATATCATAAATCCAACATGTTAACGCCGCGTCTGATTTCTATGGCTTATTTCGCGAGATGTTCGAAAGATATCCGCGAATAAACGGAATTATGTTCATCTTGCCGTAATGAGATTCATGATACTTATGAACCGTTGCAATGATTGTAAACTCAGAAAAATGTTTTTCACTCTAGAATATGCCACGCTGATGTATAAGACATTTTTGCGCGAAAATTCATTTAGTTCGCAACGAAAAAGTGCAATTAAAAACATATTTGATTTGAAATATATCGAGTTAAAAAATACACAATAATCCCGAATTATTTTTATTAAATATTTTTGTATATAATCTTGAATTGCTCACGTTTTATCAAATATTTTCGGCAAATATACTTTCATGTTTGTAATTTATCAATTTTTAAGCGATTCAGTAAAAAATTTCCTAATTTTTTTAAGTATTTTCATTTAAATTTCCAAGACAATATTTTGAAAATTTTTTAATGTAATTTTCTAAAATAAGTTTTTATTAATTTTCTAACATTTTTCGCTTTTATGAAAGAAAACCATATAGCTATTTAAGTGTTAGATTTTCAAGTGTATTGAAAAAATAACTAAACTGGTAAGATAAATATTTTTCTTCAAAATATTTTTCTTGTAAAACATTTTCACTCTTTTACCAAAAATTTTAATAAAAAATATGCATGTTCAAGATTTCGTTAAAACATTGAATATGTAAATAAAAAAAAATATATATATATATATATTTATATTATATTTTAAAAACATACATAATTAATTTTATTTATTTGTAATATAAAAAAAAAGAAAGAAAATTTTTTGAAAAATTTCCCCGGAATCCCAATAAAATTTGAAACGAATTCTCTGATTTTTCCATATACAAAATCCTTACGAATTTTTAAGTTTTTTTAAGTTTTTTTAAGGAGAACAAGCACCCTATATTTCAAAATCTGACAATATACATAATCACTTTATGTATTTCGAGAAAGCGATATCGAAAGCACTCGGGGAGAACGCAATGCTTTATCAGAAACGCATGAGCAATTATCGCGCAGTTGGCAAAATTATTTAGGCCAACAACATGTCTATTCGCGTAATTAAATCGAGTTAAGTATAGCCGCGCACGTGTTCCCCACCTATAGGGTGCAACTACAAAAATACGATATCGAAATGCGTGCGTTTCGAAATCCTCAAATGAACGCTATTATATTCGATCGCGCGACTATTGTTAGTCGATATCGATGCCGAGAGGGACTTGGCTTCGACAACTTTCAAATCCAACATTAAGGTTGCGTTGCGCAAACCGCGCGCTCGCGGTATCCAAGAGATACAGGAGAGATATGCGGAAAATGCAGCAATGCAGGTAGCGAATCAATTCCCAGTTATGGCATACGATTATGGGAAAAATCTGCGACCGTTTAATCCTCGCATTTCACTTCTAGATGCACGACTGTTTCGAGAATGGATCAAGCCAAAGTCCGCGATTATCCAATTTAATCCGGCGGTAGAAAAACGAATCATTAATCTTGTATTAATAATTCATATAAAATAAATGTTATAATTATGTATTCTGAGAACTTCACGATGTAAAAATAATTTAAACATAAAATTTTGTACAATTACTTGTGTATCTCAATTTTTTGCTTGTTGCAATTTAACAGAAATGTATTACATATTTTTATTTTATCTTATTATTAAATTTCATTGAAAGCGTTTGCTGATCGCTTACAAAAACATTACCTAGTAATTCAAATAAAAAAAAGAGATTTGTTCTGTGGAAAAAAGGAATTTTAAAGAAGATAAATGACGAAGTGATTCTGAAGGCATTAAACTCGAATGCCCTTATTATAGACTTTGAGAGGCATCAACGTTGGAATTCGAGCATTAGCAACGCATCATCTGGATTTCCTCGGAGAACGAGAAGAACGGATCGTTTGTGCGAGGAGAAATAAATTAGCCAGATCACAGCTCCGTCTTAAAACAACTCGCATAATCGTCGAATGTGATGCCGATTCGAATCGCCTTAACACCACGATTTACACGCGTGTCTCCCATTACGATGATATCGATTCGTTACAGAGCGCGATGATGACGTTTCATGTAGGAAATAGGCGCCCATCATCCGCGAGCAAAAAATTAAACGAATGCGAAATGAGAATTTCAAACGCGAACTGTCCGATCGCGATGTGTTATTCGAATCGCTTATGAATTATAGATCACAGAGTGCTAAATCTCTTCAAAGGCGGTGACAGGAAAAGGCGTCTAGATATGCAATCCTTCATTTGACGAGATAAATGCACAAGCGTATCCTACTTTATAATTTAAAACGGTAAAAAATTCAATTTTGCTGAACATTACACATCTTAAAATACTCTGCGTGCATCTTTTATCCTTGCAATATATTTTTCTTCCCGCATTACATTTTTTAGAGCGGCTCGTTGTAAAATATAGAAGGACAATAATTATGTATTAATCATTTCGTTTAAACTATTTTTAACGAAAAAATATGCATATGTTATAAAATTATTTTCTTATCTATAAATATTACATAAATAGATATAAAAAATTGGAATTCCATTAAATATAATAAAAGATTGTAAAAAACTTTGATATTTAAAGTTTAATTATTTTTACTGAGAATATTTTAAATTGCTATATAGTTATTAAATAAAATATAGTAATGTTTAATAAAATTTAATAAAAGATTATTCTCTCTCTTTCTCTCAATTAAAAAAAAATTATTTTATTCGTAATAAAATCTATATCTGAAAAATGGAATATCAATGGGTTAATCAGCTTCCTTCATTAGCATAGAAGCAACAAACGAAGCAACAAACACGGTATGCAGAAATAATACGTTATCGTATCCTCGGAGATGCGAGAAGGAATCCCAACTCGCCGAAAGGCAATATCCACTCTTCTGCCTTCAACGCCGATAAGCGTGCGTGAGCGCCAACGTAAATTTACCCTCTCAGCCGCCACTGCTGCACGAAGCTCCAGTCCGCCTTGAACCCGCTCGTGTCCCCCGGCAAGGACCAATAGTCCTCCAGCTGGCTCTCGTCCTCCTCTATCCTCAGCACGTCTTCTCTACTGGGGCTGACGTTCACCACGATCTCGTGCACGACCTTGGGATCGCCGTTCTCCGTCACGGAATCCCGTCGTTCAGCGTCGTTCTTCTCATCGTCCTGGTCCATCGATTCGCCGAGAATCTCGTCGTTACGCGGCCGTAACAACAACGAAGCCCCGGGCTCCTCGTTCTTGCATCTCGACGTCGCTTCCGGCGACGGTTGCTGCCTCGCTCTGTCCTCCCTCCGTCTCGGATTCGAGTCGCCGAAGTAGATGACCGTCTTGTGACCGACGTCCTTCCCCATCTTCGAATCACGACCGTCGTTTACGACCTGACGATCGCTGCCGCAGCGGCGACTTCGGTCCTCCAAGGTCGAGCTTCTCTCGTAATCGTCGCTCTTCGCAGCGGCTTCCTCTCGGCTTTTCAGCCGCTCCCCTCGGAATATCGGGCTCTTCGAGAAGGGCATGGCACGTCGCAGGATAAAGTTTGCGCTCTCGTTGCCGATCTGCTGCTGAATCTCGCCGTTCATTTTGTAGCCCTTCAACTCGCGACACAGGATGCACCTGCAGTCCTCGGTGCACTGTGCTCGTCTCGTGGACGGCATGTCATTCACGGCGGATCATTCTAAAGCGTTCTAGACTCTTCCGAATGATATCGGAATTTTCTCACCTATCTACAGATATCGAAAGATAGATGCAATTCGAAAGTGCGAATAAAAAGTTCGGATTCCCCGATAATATTCTGAATTAACTTTCGATTTAATTATACACGTTTCACTAGTACGATTTTATACGTGT